TGTGCTGTGCTGCACACACTGAAAACGGTTTTATCCTGCTGCTTGGATGGTCTTTTCCTTGTTGTTTCTCTACCTCTGAATAAATACATTTGACCACCTGTTTGCCTGGGGGGGGTCAGTTAGATACAAGAAAAACTTCACAGGTGGCTTATATTTCTAGTGACTTCCTAAAGGCTACACCTGGTTTATAAATGGAACAGTAAAACATTTAGCTTGCTGCTGGTGCTGCATCAAAAAAAGGAGAGAACTTCACACCAAGTGAAATGAACAACTCCCAGTTCATGTAGTTCATAATCTTAAATCCTTATTGATATTCTATCCATACTAATTATGGTTTTTTTACTTTTCTAACACTCCCACTTTGTCTTTTTGTCAGGAATTGCAAGGCTCAGCCATGCTTCTTTCTCTCTTGCAAATCTCTTGATAGGGAGGCTCCCAGCAACACTGTGGGGGGCTGGGTGTCCATTAGTGCTTAGGAGATGTCTCCAGCACATCCTTATTAGGAGGCATATCCAGATGGAGCACATACCACAAACCTTTTGAAAACAGAAGAGAGTTGTGATAAGGAGAGAGGGAGGAACAGGATAATCCCCAAGTGTAAATCTCAGGGGCTTCGTACCCACTAGAAGGCAGTGCATCCTCTTGGGATCCCCAGGAGACAAGATACTATTTTAATGAAGCTTATGCCATCTGTTTTTCTATTTTGCATTTTTAATTTCCCTTCTCCGCACCGAAATCCCCATCCAGGCAGTCTGTCTGTCTTACCTACCAGTCAGTGACGTGACAGTTTGTGTTAAAACAGAATGGGCAATGTGACAATTGGTTGGAGTGCTGCAGAACAGGCTACAGAGGTGATGAGGGACTGTGGCAGCGGCTTCTTCATCAGCACATCCACCACACTGGGACCCTAGCAGTAAATCTCCCGCATTCACATCTGTAGATGAATGTATGGGAGAGAGGCAGATAGAGACACACACTCAGAGCAGCCTTCATCCCACCGAGATACTTATTGTCTTAGATGCAAACACCTTGTCTCCTGGGACTAGATAGAGAATAAGGCTCTGTTTCTGGAAGATTGCTTAGTGGGGTGCCTAAAAATATGTGAAAAATGAGTGTCTAAGCTCGGCAAACTGGTTTCCAGCATAAGGCTGAGTGAGCTACATGCAGATGAGGTCTCCTGCCATATGACCAAGAGGAAGCCTAGTTCATATTATTGCAGGCTTGAAAGTGTTTACGGTTTTTGTTTTAGATTTTCTTTGCAAAGCTTCTTGTAAAAAACTGGCGTTAATTGCAAATGCAGCAGATAATTTTTCTGCTTTCCTAGCTATTGTTTTGTTCCTCTCTCAGCTTAGATCTCATGCTGGTATTTATCTCAATACCAAAAAACAAATGGCTGATGCTAGTCAGCCCCATAAGAAGCAGCAAGTGTCACAAAATTGCTTTTAATATAAGCTGCAGTAGCTCAAGTATATAATCCACCAGCCTAACCAGAAATTTTTCATTCTTCAAGAAGTAGGAAGCTGTCATAACACTAACAGAGCGGAGCAATTTCATACGATACTAACACTTTGCTCCTGCCAGTTGCATTGTAGAATGTTGCCTTTTTTCTCTAGGAGACACATGCAGATCGCTCTTAGAGCACATCAGTCACAGCCCAGCCACTACTGGGAGGGAAATTCTGCTCTACGGAAGCCTGGACATATTGTAGGGTGGACACAAAAGCCTCT